CCAAGTCAGGAGCACCGGAATATTTTTCCTAAAATGGGTCATGTTAATCCAACCAACAGTAAAACAAAGTTTTCCATTTCCCCACGACTCTTTCACCTCAGTTTTGTACACATGGAGTTGTAGTTAATGTTGCACATAAATGAAAGGCAGACATCAAAGAGGATGATCTACTAAGTAATTAACTTGCACAAAAAGTATCTCCTCTTGTTATCACACTGACAGGAGAGTATGTTATGGGACATAGTTTATGTATTTTAGTATTTCATAAATCATCACTTGACATGATAAAGGTTTGATGAAAAAAACACTCAAAAATGCAATAAAAGATGCCTTCTTTGCCAAAACAAAAAAGTAGTTGTTGGAGCCATGCTCACTAGGAGAGCAAACCTTGGGAGCTACACTAGCATGTTAACTATGAAGCTGCTCAGCACCAGCCCAGGCAACTGCTCACTGCAGAAGAATGAGCAAAGAAAAGTTCTAAGTGAAACACAAAACTGCTGAAGTCTGGAAGTTCACAATTTCAGTAAGTGACTGATTGGACTTTTTCTGGACTTCTTAAAAAGCATCCACCCATGATGCTATCAGCATAATGCAGAGCTTCCTGGTAGCTGAAAAGGTTCATCTTGGCTTGTGTAAGATGCACATATCACTGAGAAAAAAAATGCACTCTGGCTTTTATCTGCCTAAAGAAAACAGAAGGTACCAACCAAGATAGTTTGCATTTACTGATGCACTGATTTTACTACATTCCTTGCCAATTTTAAACCAGAAGAGATAAAAATCCATGTCATACTACAGTATTTACCCAGTCTAAAATTATCCAACTAATAAGCTTTCTTTGTTGGATGCTGGATAAAATCTTTCTTTTAAGAACTTTTACTTAGGATGGTTCATGTAGGAATTGTTGGGGTAGGGTGAGGGTTCCAGCTCTACCATTCCTGGTGCAGTAAAAAACCTAACAAAATGGGAACATTCACCACAGAATGAATTCTTGAATTTAGTCAGCAGTCCAGTTCATTCTGAGTTACTGTTAGAGGGGAAAAATATCCCTTTATTACTGATCCATGGAAATTTGACAAAAATACAATGCAGTTGTTCAAGTTGAGAAGGAAGTGGTGTCCCTGTGACACAGGTCTTGTGCCTTACTGCGTTCCTATGCAGAGGTACAAGGTACAAAGTTAATTGTTATCCAGTTCCCTCAAAACTAGGAGCCTGTAGTACATCAAAAGGTTTGAAAAGTGGGAATTAGGAGATAGATCAAAAGACCAGACATCAACAACTTAAAGGATGCAATTACTACATAGCAAGAAACAGTTCTGAAGGAATTTTGATGGGCGGCAGCACATACATGGTGGGGAACACCTTGGCAATAAATAGCAGTCTAGGCCCGCAAGTAGAAATTAGGATACACAGTAAACCCACAAGCTGAATCATTCCAACAACTGCAGCATTCTGTCAAACTTGATATATTCCCTCTGGAGCAGAAACTTGTGCATTATCCTCAGTGACAAAATGTCCATTAGAACAGACCCCCAGTGAGAGGATTTGGTCTGTGACAGATTCCAAAGAACTATATGTACTTAGTCGTGCAAAGCCTGTTTAAATATTGTGACAGGTTTCTGACAACTGACAGATGGAGGCTAGAGGGAGATAAAAAACAGTGGATTAACCACTTCTACACTCTGATTATGCTTACAGCAATGACCAGACAGCTCAATATTGCAACTTTTTTGTTATACAACATCTCAATGAGGAGTTTGTAACACTTCACCAGTGGCCTGCACAGTTCTACCTGCTTTGAGTCAACTGGGAGCTGCTCTCAGCTGCTGGCCAACAACATCATGGCTGGTGCTGGCTTTTCCCTGGGCATCACTGTTATGAAATGCCTGGTTTAGGGTTGCTCAAAGAATAACCATCAAAGGTATTAGCCAAGAGCAGTTTTAATATGATTTATAATGGCATGACTTAATTCAACAGCAACGTTCATGCTATTAGTTATTACATGGATGAAGTATGCAAAGGAAAAAATCAAGGTAAAATCAAACTAAAAACAATCTATACAGGGACCAAGGAAGCAAAGGGTAAGGGAGACCCTCCACTAAATCACAAGGCTCATAGGAGACCTCCTCGCTTTCTAAACTCCTGACTGAGCATAGGTGCTGCTGGATCGATCTAGTCTTAGTGTCAGATTTGGTCAATGGCTTACATCTGAAGGGTTACAGATGTACCAGTTCACCAGGGAGGGAAGTTTTACATGTTTTTTATTTAGCAGCAGTTTGAAGGTTTAAGGATCTTATAAAGTGAGTCACTAGAATATATCACAGTTGCTGTAAGAATCTATACACATATACAAACACATACCTAAATACATACGAAAGTACCTGTAAATAATTTAGTGGGGGGGGACTTCAGTCCAAGGAAGGAGTGCTCCAAGGCTGTCAGGGATAACCGATTGTCCCCTTCTCACTTCCCACCTTAGTCAGGGAACAGGAGTCCCTGACACAATCAGTATCTCTTTCCTTAGCTGTGCAAGAGTGCCCAGCATGGTCAAGGAATGCTTCCCCACCAAACTCATTACACAAAGGCCAAGGCCTGATGGAAATTCCTGAGATTGTAAAGCAGCCCAGAGAATGGAGAGATGCACCACCACAATCATCTTTCTGTTTGATGATACTAGCTGCTTTACCAAAGAGATTCCACAGACCGTTCTTTAAAGATAACTGTAGATAGGGATTATCCCAGGAAGAAGAATTTTATCACTGCCTATCAGACTTGAGTAGTGTTGGGAAAAGGGACACATTTCTAGAACGGTATATGCTGAAGGAACAAGCTAAGCAGATGTGCTGGACCAAATCCCTCAGAAACAGGAAACCTGACATATTTCTGAAGATGCCTGCTCAGGTTCAGAACTATCAAAGTGGGTATTTGCTAGGTTTTTCAGTGAGTCAGGGATGCTTAAGAGGAACAGTGGGAGGACTGGAACTGCTTCAATCTCTGAGAAATACACAGGCATGGGGCAAATTACACCAGTGCATTTCACACCAGTTTAGTTTTGTACTCACAGAACACACGTTCAGCATGCTCCCAATTGCATGGACTTGAAGAAGTGCAACCAAAGGAGTTGTCAGTCAGGTTTTAAGATGCTTATGACAGCAGTTATGTGTAACTTTGATCATACACTTGTAGTGTTGTTGGTGTCAGCCTTAAGGTTAGTATAGAAGCATTGTTAAAATAAATGCTTTTTTAAAAAACCAAGCCAGCAAAGTAAAGAAACAACTTTCTTTTTTGTTTTTTTTTTTAAACTCAGTATTCTATTTCAGTCACATTTACCAAGTACATCTGTTCCACCTCTGTTCTGCTCTATTCTTAGCCTGTGATGGTTACTGCAATATATTAGCGTCTCTTAGAAGCTGAAACAGACCTGATAGATCTCAGAAATTCCTCATCTGGCATTTCAAGCAAGACAGCTGCCAGAAAGACTCACCAGCCACTAAACCTAAGAGCTGCAAGAAGTGCTTTTCTCAGCCAAGTCTTTATAAAGGTTTTCTTGTACTTCCTGCACTCATCCCTTACGACAGTATGCTTTTATCTGCCCCCTGTCACTTGCCAGATTCAGCCCTTGCCAGGCAGTCTTTGAAGGGCTAAAGCTTTTGTTGGTGCCTTTTTTTGCTCTTTAGTTATTAAAACTTACTTTCAGTTAGCTTGTTTGTGGTTATTTCAAGGACAAGTAATGTAAGTCTCCTAGTTACTAAACAGTTACAGCTGTGTGATGGGGATAATGCACCTCTCCTGGACCAGCTCCAGGAGAGGTGCATTGTGCACCAATTGGTTCCAAGCAGTATTTGGTAAGAAACGGCACCAAGTCTCATTTGAGTTGCATTTCTTTGAAATATCTGGATTTTCAATGACCCCCTTAACAGAACTGCTAAAATACTTTCCACCTTCCATGTTTATCCTCATCAAAGAACATTCCAGAAACTTGCTCTCACTAAATATGTGAGCCAAATACCATGCCTTATTTGAGGGGCACGCAAACTAACAAATTGGCTCATTTGTTATCTACTCAGCTTTCTTAACACATAGGCCAAAACCAATTAAGTGTATCCTTGGTTCTCCTCTACACTTACAAGATATTTCTGTAAGTCTGAGACCTTTTAAAAGGCACAATAAAAATTAATTTATAAGCTAATACATATTTAAAGCTACAATACACTTTCTTATACATTCTGTATTGAAAAACAAGTCTTTGTTGTCCTAACAGTGCCTTCCACCAGTTTAGACCAGCTTTCTAATATATTTATTAGCCAATTTTTACTTGTTACCATCACTCAGTATTGGTGATACACACTTAATTCCACTTTTCAGCACAGGTTTTCTCTGTCATGAAGATCAAACCAACTCCTTCTAGATGGAGTGTTTCTTTTAAGCTCTTCAGTGTCACTGTGAAACCTTTACAGTTTAGTCATGCTTAAGTAAGTACAGAAAAACCTGTTTACACAGCTCTGGAGTTGTTATTTTGTCTTCATGGATGCCAATTCTATGTTAGATCACATTGCCCAACATAGAAAAAAAACATACCCTTCGATAAACCAAATTATCAATCTAAAAATACTAAACCAAACCCGTTGACAAGAAATCATCTGGGTCCTACAGCAAATCTTATAGGCAATTTTTGTTACCTTTTAAATCTGTTTCATAAGTGCATTTTCTCTGTTTTCTTCGGCAGAATTATGAAAAACCCCACATCTTTCAACATCAGCAGCACTTAGCATTACATCTTAATGTAGATCTCTTACAGCCCCAGAAGAAACCCTGTTCCTCAGTATGAACATGATAAACATGGAGAGAAAGCAGCCAAGCAGCCCAGGAGAATTACCATGAGCAAAATGAAACTGGCACTTTCTTTTCAGTGGGAGAGAACATGAGGCTGAGAAGGGAAATTAAGTTAATGCTGATGCTACCATGAAAGGAGAAATGTTTTTTATACGTGAGAAACTTACCAGTACAGTTCGCCCTTGGGAAATAAAGAAATGGCCAGATATAACCACGGTAAGGATAAGATGGCCTGATTCTTCATTTGATTCAAAAACCTTTAAAAAAGAAAGACAAATGAGAACTCCAGCCTGGTAAGCACAGAATCTCCTTTTTCCATTTCTAGTGCAAAATGAGAGGTTTCAAAGGTTATAATTTACCTCTCACCCTTGCACCTTGTGCCACAGATTAGAGGCACATTTACTAACTCCGTATACAGATTTAACTATTTTAAGCAACCACCTGGGCTCTTCCAACTTGATCTCTAGTTTTTAATACCACAGATCCCTGCCGAAAGAAGGGATGAACACCAGTGAAGCACTATCATATCACTGATGTGTTCACATGAATAATTTATGAGGTAAAATATCTCCGACGTCTGAATTAGCTCTGGACTTGCAAAACTATACCTCACTTATTGCCGCTCGTCATGCAGCGGCCTGTTAGACCCCACCGAGCCAGCCACTGCCACACCGGGCAGCCAGCCTCCCCCGCGCCGCCCATCACCTTCCAAGAGGCGGCGTTTTGCCCTTCCTCATCGCGATCCGCCGGGGGCAGGAAGCGGCCGTAGCGCTTCAAGGGCCACGTTGTGGCGCTGCCGAGGAGGGAGGTGTCACCCGGCGCAGAGCCCTGCCCCGGCTCGGAGCCGCGGTCCCCGCCCGCCGCCATCCCAGCCCTGAGGGGAGGCGGCTCTCCACAGCGGGCGGCACAGCGCTAGCCGCCAGCGAAGCGGGTTTGAGCGGGAAGTAGCAGCCAATAGGAGGGGAGAAAGAGCGCGTCGGGGGGGGCTCGTTCACCAATCAGCGGGCAGGAGAGAAACAAGAGCCAATGAGGTAGCGCGCTCGGACTCACCCCGCCCCTTCTCTCAGTGATCGGTGGATGCGAGCTGAGGTAATGTCGCTCCGTTTTCCCCGGTGGTGCTCTGTGCTGTGCCGGATAGTGCCGTCTCCTGCTGTTCCTTTCCTTTCGAAGGTATTAATTCTTCAGGGAGAGGGAGGATACTACCTCCGCCTTCTCGCAGCAGCCTCCAGGTGTACCTGTATGGCGGGGCTGAGGAAGAGAGAAGTGTGGAGCCCGTGGCGCATGCGGCCGCCATTTTGTGTGTTGTGAGAACCCGCCTGTGGAAGCGGGTCCAGATGGTAGCGTGCGTCCTTCCTCAGCTGAAACGTGTTCAAGCCAAACCCCAAACTGCCTTTTCACATCTTCAAGATTGGACTTTATGATCTTAATGATTTTTTGCAACCTAGCTGGTTCTATGATTATCGGTGCAAGGCGCTGTTCTTGCTTCATAGAACTTCCAGTAGTGTTTTGTGGTACCTGGAGCGGGATCTGGCAAAAAGGAGCTTTCTTCGATGTGTATTGTATGTTGTTAGCCCAGGTTTGTACAGCTGGATTAATAAATCACAGTTGCGCTTCTCTCCCTAGTTTGCTTTCTTTCTGCTACTAGGTTGTGCCTAGAATTAGTTGTACTGCACTTTCTATAGGAAAAAAGGATAGTGAAATGACATGGCAAGACTGCACTTACTTATTCCATTTATAGTACATGTCTTGACCCATTAACAATAAAAAAAACCGTGCATTAGCGAGTCAAGGTCATTGAGGGGGCAGGGAAGAAACAGTTCCCGCTCAGGGAGAGATGCATGGGAGCTGACTGACCTGGACAGATTTAGGGATGCAAGGCACCTCTAGCTGCCTTTAAACCGTCTGTATGCTTGAGGGTATATGCTAGTAGCTTTGATCCTGGTTCTGAGCATTGATTACTGCCAGCAGCTCATACCTGAGCACAGTGAAGTCTGGCTAAGTATTCACGCTTCATAAATGAAACAGAACAAAGGAGTTCATGCTATTTTTTAACTTTGTTACCTTTATGGTTTGTATTACCCATGCTGGCTTGGCTGATAGAAAAAAGGTTAAAGTGGAATGAAACAACTACTGTCTCATCTGAAAGAAAACCTTCAAGTACAAGGTTAACCTGTTCCTTAAACTGTGACGGTTTCACCTGTTAGAAAATACTTGATGTTTATGTTATGTGGCCGTTATGTTTTTCATCTGATGTTACACCCTCAGAGCCAGGTTACCATCTGGGGAGCTCTTTCCGTGTTGAACTGCTGAACTGTTACACTGTTACATTGTTGATCTGAATGCTTTGCAGATAAGGAAATGCAGGCAGAAAGACATTAGGCGATTTGACAAGGTCATCCAGAAGGATCAGTAGAAAACAGGGAATACAGCATGGGCCTCCCAGCTGCCAGTTGCCTTCTCTAATCACTGCTTCCCCTGGAGGATTCCTCAGGCTGTGCTTGTCAAACATTCAAAATTGGCCTGTATATGTGGGACTTTGTTGGAAATTACTGAAGAAGGTAAATATTATTGTTAGATAGTATGAGTATATATATACTGAATATGTATAATACATTATATATAAGTACATAGGCTGAGTCTGTTACCCACTAATTCAGCTAAAGTTCTGTGGAAAATTGTTTGCAGCATCTTCAAATGTTTAGCTTCCAAGAGTGATTTCTCACAAATGTGCTAAAGAGTTCAGCAGGAGGAAAGCAAAAGCTTGATCTTTTACCAAAGCAGAAATTTCCAGCTGTGGTTTTGAAAGAGGCAGAAGTAAACCAAGAGCATCAGATACTCCCATAAAGTCGTTTAGTAATAATATATTACTGCATTGACATGTGAAAAGGAGTTGACAGGGGACACAAAAGCAGGCAGTGTGTAAAAGGCTGTACAAATTCTTTTCTTCACAGCTTTGTTGGGGCATCTCATTAGTGTATGCTCAGTTTATTAGGCCTGAAGGTCAGCCAGTGCAACTGCACCATGACAGGGCAGTATCTCATGCTGCTGTCATCTAGATGTACCAATCACAGCCATGTTTACTTTGGATGCTGAACCTTAAACATGATTCTAGCACCCTGTAATTTTCTGATCATAGTTTTTTGCTTAGCTAGGGTCTGCTAGTTTGCTTTTAGGTTTTGGACAGTTACATTTTTACATGTGTGTAAGTAAGGTTTGAAGTGGGAGAAACGAGAATTGAGTTAAGATGGATACACAAGGTCTTGCAGATTGTGATTTCTTTGAGGAATTGCAAGATAAGCCTGTGTTCAGAGAGATGTGTAGGAAGATGGTTAAAATTGTTTTTGTAAAAGGCCACAGGGGTTGCCAATTTTGTAAAATTACAGATTAGAATGTAGGAGGGGGAGACAGGTGAGCCTGCCATGTGAAATTACATTTCATCAGAGACAAGATAGCAAACCCCATGTACGTGCTGAGGGTTCATCATTGTGGTCTACTTCAGATTTGCTTGAGACTTCACAGGCTGCAGTAGTAAAAACTACTTCTCTCACTGCAAAAGTACCTAACCCTGTCAATAACTTAGAGAAACTGCTAGAAGCAGAGGTCTGTGCAGGGAGAGAAATCCATTCTTTTCCTGTGCGATATGGATTTGATGCTGTGGTAATAATTGTTACATATATAATAGTTGATTATGGACTAGACATTTTGCTGAGCCACCTAAATTAATGATTTTTAATAACAGAAGTGGTGAGAACAGCAACAATAAAATCACATTACCAGAACTTTATTGTGAAGTGCGAGTGTAAATTTGCAGCAAGTGCAAAGGATGGACTGGAGTAATTAGTACAAAGGTGACAAATAATGTATTAAAAAAATAGAGGCTACCAATTGCATGAAATGGATAAAACGAACAACAAAAAGTACATTTCAGAAATTTTGGAGGTTTCCCTCTGGTACTGGCAATTTATCATCTGCTTCTACCCAGCTCTGTTAAAGAGAGAAATAGGATTACTCACAGTGGCAGGAATAACAGGCTAGTGAAATTGTTCTATTCAGAATACTTGATTTATTGCTTTTTTTTATAATAAATGGAGTTACCTTATGCTTTAGTTGCTTTATTAGTAGTTGTGAGGCTTCCTCCGTAACTGACAGGTTCATTCCATTAATCAACATCTCAGTTAGTTATACCTCCTTTCAGCTGAATGGAATCTGGCAGTCAGCAGTCTCACTGCCCAGATCTCTCAGTACTGATGAAATTACAGCATCTCAGTATTTGATTATGGCATAGCAGTTCTGTACCCATCACTAAAATATCTTCATCCAGTTCTGTCAGCACATGAGGGAGATGAGTTTTCTTATGCAGTAATTTGAAGCCAAGGACCATGTGTTCTGGGTTGAGATGAAGGCCTGTGCTGTCCTGAGGAGTGTCAGGCATTACACATCTATGAGACCTCCCTACCCAGCTGTTGTGAACTTCAATCACTGAATTTAATTATCAGTTTTATCCTGTTTCACTTTTTTCTTTGCAAAAATCTACCCCTTGCAATGAGCTTTCCATTTTCAAGTGACTACCAGAAAACAAATCAGTGAATTTCTGACTGAATGCACTTCAAGTATCATTGTAAGGTACAAGTGAAGTCTGATGTCTTGTTTCAGGCATCAGGCTCAAATTGTAATTTGCAGTTATACTTCATAGTCTCTCTTTTCAGTGCCTGTATCAAGATTAAGGTTGGATAGAGCACCTTAAGCACCACAGGAATCCAAGGGTTCTTCCAGCTCTGTTTAGAGACTGTGTTCCATAAAAGGCTTTAGCCTTAAACTTTTCTAGGGAAGGTCATATTTATTCAAAGCATAATTTACTTGCATTCCCTTTATCTCCTTTTAAGTTTTCTAACTTTAGCACTTATGGCACAGATAAAGGAGCTTCTGCTTCACAGATTTTCCATTTACATAAAAAAACCCCACCAGCAAACACCCTTCGCTGTCAGTGCACCCATTCTGCTGAGTGCTTTTCATTTGCCATGGCCTTGAAAACATAAGGGCATTTATTAATTAATTCAAATTTACAGCTGGGTGGAGGGGAGGACCACAGATTGGAGCTAAGCAATTTGTGGTATGCCCCTTATTTGATGAGGATCATAGAAGGAGAAATAGTCTTTGCCATTGCCAATATTTCCCATTCCAATCAAGTGTGGTTTTCATTTAACCACTGGCTAAATATTGACCTTAGCAGGATGAGAAGAGCCTGGACCTGGAGTAATTACTGTAAGCTGAACTCCTGACAGTCCTGGATATGGACAGGAGCTGTAATTATCTCTTCTTTTTTAAAGTCTTGCAGTGATTACCTCTGGATCTTTCCTAACATAAGCCTGTATATTCTGCTATAAACACAGCAATAATGGAAGGGACTTTGGACTTGGATACAACTCTACAGAAGTTTGTTTCTGCCCAGACATATACCAGAACATTTAAGAGATATTGTAAAGAAAGAAATATGGTTGGGTTTTTTTTGATGTTTGGTTTTGTTTGAGCTTCCCTCGCCCTCATTTAACTGGTTTTAGCAGTACTTGCAGTGAGCTTGTAGGGGAAAATAAGTTTTTGATTCTTCCTTTAAGTCTCAGCTCTAAAGCTTATGTCAGGGGGAGCTACGTGTACATAGAGAAAGGAGAAAATACGTCTTGAACTTTTGTGTGTTCCAGAAAAGGATATTCTCACCACCCACCTTAATTCTGAATTCTTTTTCTGGTCGTCTGGATTATCATGTAGGACTCAGTGAAGCAGGTAAAGAGAGGAGTCTAAATAATGTAATGTATCTGTGCCTCTTTTTCCGTGCCTGAGTGGAGAATATTTCAGTTGGAACAACCCACATTACAACCACTTAGAGCTGAATGATAGATAGGTTCAAGTCTCAGAGCATCCTGTTCCAAATACACAGCCATTTAAAGTAGAGGGAAGTCTTTTCTAGCTGTTAACGTCATGAGATTTTGACATTCAACTGAATACTTGCTATGCTCTCCAATAAAAATTATGTAGTACTCTTCAACCCACCCTGCCATGTTCAGGTGTCCCTCTGACATTTAACCTAGAGTATGCGCCACACAAGAAGCCTCTAGTTCTCTGAATCCCACGCTGTTTAAGAAGCAAGCAGCAGAATGATAATTTAATTTACTTGCTTAATCCCCTTATGTTTTATATTAATATGAATCGCATTATAGGAGCAGGAATGTGCTTATATAACACAATATTCACCTTCAGCTAAAGATTAATGTAGTTACTCATATTTACC